CAAAATAACCAGAATTCAACCCAGATCAGATGATCGAATAAGTAAGCCCTTCTGTCATTACTGGGTTAAATTTTGTTTTTAAAGTTTAACTTTATTGTATTCACAAGACTTCTTTCATTCTCTTTTATTTTTATTTTTTCTTTGTTCAGTAACTTTTACTTTTTTGTTAGAAACTCTTATCAGTTTGAAAAATTCATTGCATTGTTAAAAAGTGTAACGATAAAAGAAAAAAAAAATGTAGGCAATTAAAAGATATGAAGACACTAAATTAGCCTAAATCTGTAATACTGTAAGTACGAAAAAATAATATTGGAATGTAAGCAAATAAGTAAGACCGAGGAATAAATATATATTACGGATTTGTATGTAAAAACAACATAACCTGATCTCGGATATCTATTCGAAGTCATATTATTCAGATCTTCACTTTCAACGTACATTTTGTTCTAAGAAAACGCTATTGGGCATGTGGTAACACAACACTATCCCAACTTTCATCCTTTACGTCTCACTTTTGATCAAGTCCTTGAGGCTTGTGCTATACAACAAACATTAAGCGTTCTATCGACAGGTTTTAATTGGCATTGGCTAAGCTACCAGAGTCTTTCTAGTCAATAATTTTTCATTACAGTGGCACATAATCAAATATTTTAGTATATAACGATAAGTGTTTGTAATTTTTTTTTTTTTAAAAAAAAAAAAACAGACGCATTTTCTGAATTTATAAATTTATAATTATGATGTTAATAAGATCAATAATTTTTTTATTCCAATTTGTACTTAGTCTTCCTATACATGAAAAATCTACCAGAGAGTTAATCACACAACCCACAGATGAGACTACGGTCGTGTTCACCAAATACGACAAAGTTAATGACAAGTCTTTAGACGTCTATACGATCAATGCAGAATATTCCAGTCTTAAAATGCTTGAGCTCGACTTTCCTGATATCCAAATGCCTACACTTAATTTTTCTGGTGTTCAATTACCTAAATTTAACTTTTCTGATGTACAAATGCCTGTTAAGATTGTAATAATAATAATAATTGGTATAGTTGTTATCATTGCTTCTTACTTTCTTATTCTTGGATGTGCTTATTGTTTGGGATTTGGTCCCGTTGGAATCATAGCCGGAAGTATTGTTGCTATTTGTCAGAGTATTGGTGCTACAGGTGCGCCTGGACCATGTTTGATAGTATTAGTAGCAGTAACGATAGTTTTCATAATATGGTTA